AAAAAACAAAACCATAAGAAGCCCAACTCCTACCTTGAAGTAGAAGACAACCATGCATATACAACTATACTATGAAATTACACTTTTCAGCAAGAGGGTATACCCAGATTGACTCCTATTTAAGTATGAAGAACAAATGGGCATCAGATGAACAGAATTGAAAGTATAACAGTGAAGAAACCAAGGATTCCAAAAAAAAAGATAAAAGAAAAGGAAAAGGGAAGGAAACAAGTTTGTTAAAGTAATTTCCTGCAAGGAAAAAGTAGGAGCAAATGGAGAAATCAGCAACAAAGCTAGAATCTGTTGTCTCATCTGAAAGGAAACCTGGAGGGAAAAGAGAGGCCTATTCATTTAAGAATGGTAGTAGGATTTCATTCAGGAATTCCTCATTGACAAAAGAGGGAAGCTAGAAACAAGTAGAGATACTGTTGACTGGCAAACATATACTTTTTACCCAACAATTGGGTAAAACCAAAAGCGAAACCAAAAGTATACTTTTTACCCAACAATTGGGCAGATGATATACAGTGAAACCAAAAGTGGCTCATGTGGATTGTCACAAGCAAAAGTTCAAAGCCTAAATGAAAGCAGCAACAGTTTTGTTGCCAGTTAACAACTAAAGAAATTATTAGCAATCCATTCTAAGTCTTTAGCTACTCAAACAAATCTCTTCCTTTTTTTTTTCTAGAATCCCCATATAATCACCAAGATCAGTTAAATATCAAATGCAATATGACAAAGGAATACCACCATTCACAAGACAAATTACTACAGAACATGCCTGGGCGGCACTATTGTAATCAAGCTACATGTCTTTCACAAGTGTACTAAGCAGAACAAAAGACAGCTGATGCAAAAATAAAGCAAGAAAAGACAAATTGTACAATTCAACAGTGAGAACAGACCATGCAACAGAAAATCTAAAGTTCTCCATACTTCAAACTAAAAATTATTAGCGTTAGTAAAACTAATCAAAGTGTTAAAAGTAAGCAATAAGTATTAAGTTAACTTTTCAGCCCTGGATAGTCTAGTTGCGGGACTCAAAAGCTCCATTTGGTTTAAAAATATACCTTCTACCCCTTTGCAGCTTACGAAAAAAAGTACCCATTAACCCACCAAATGGATAGATTTACGAGTAGATAAAACAAGCCATGAAAGGCAGATGGTACAGTATTTAAACCATCGGAGCTTTGTGATTCGAGCACCTCCACTATCTGCGGCCATAAAATCTAGTCAATCTTTTACTAGTTGCCAACACTATATTCCTTAATTCATATTTCACTGGCTTTTGTTAATTGTCTTGATATTATAAATACCGAAAAAAATACATTAACAAGCAGTCTACGAGCTAAATTTATGTTTCTGCATTATGCCGTTTACCATGAGATATCAAAACCCAAATGAGAGAATAAAGAGCCACCATACAGAACTCCATATGACTACCCTTCAAGCATGAAACAACCATGGAGAAACAGCTGCTAACTAATTTCATTTTATTTTCTCTTTTTTTAAATTTCAAATTCCATCAACATAAAAGATTATGGTAATATTGCTTAAACCAGAACCAAAACAGAGAGGTAGACAGAACACTCTAAGACCTTCAGTTTCTAACATACAATGTAAAACGTAGACACAACAATTATGAGTCTTCAAACAAATTTGAAAAAAAAAACAGCAATCAACAGCCATTTCATTCCAAAAATTTCATTTGTCTCTAACAACAATCTACAGCCATTTCGAAATCAGAACTAAAATTTTCTAGTCTGATTCATTATTCTCTCTATGGGGTTTCAATCTCTACTGATAAGCAGCATAGTTCAAAAATATAAACTGACACAAGTACTGATCGTGCAGTTACGTTTGATATTTCAGTCTCAACATGTCTAAAATCATTAAAAGTATGAGCCAAAGATTTTAATGTAGGCAACAAAGAAATTATTCACTAAAGAATTCTGGGCGCTGATAGTGTACTTGAAAGACTCAAAAACTCCATATGGTACCATCTATCCCTTTTTGGCTTACAAAAAAAAGAACCCATTCCCTATCGAATAGAAAGGTATATGAGTCGATGAAATAAGCCATATAGGGCAAACGGCACGTCATTTAAACCACAAGGTGCTTTGAGTCAAGCGACTACACTATCTGAGTCCAAAATGGTTAGTAAAAAATTACATGCAGCCTGCTTTAAATTCTTTGATTAATACTTGTATTGATTTTAGTCATTTTGACACTGAAATATGAAACAAAGTGAACAATAAGTCCATGAGATCAGTTTATGTTTTTGAATTATGCCACATAACATTAAAGGCTGAAACCCAACGAAGACAACACAAAATCACACTAGACAATTTAAAATCTAATTGGGAGATGGCCGCAGATTGTTGATATAGACTAATGAAATTACTGGAATTAAGTGGGTGATGCCTATAGTAGTGTGGGCCTAAAAAATCACTAGATTTCAATTTTCAGAAAAAAGGAGATAAGCATGCACAATTGGCTCCTTTTGCACTTAAGAAGGTGCAACGGATAGTAATAAACTGAAGGGCTTTCAATAGAGCCAAAATTTAAATTCGAAGAATCAAGAATGCAAATTTGAGTTTGATGTTGTTTTAATCTCAGGAATTCATTCATACATGTTTCGAGGATTAAGGGACTACATAGGTCAACTCACAGCCTTCGTATACCGCTTTGTGAATTCTTGGCCTACTGATATGGATATGAAATCTTTGTAGGGGTACAAAAGTGCTTGAAACAACCATGGAGAAACAACTGCTAACTAATTTCGTCTTATTTCTCTTTTTTTTTAAATTTCAATATGCATCAACACTCTAAGACCTTCAGTTTCTAACATGTAAAAAGTAGACACATTAATTATGAGTGTTCAAACAAATTTAAAAAAAAAAAAAAAAAGGGAATCTACACCATCGGTACTAAATTGGAAGCAAAATTCAATATAACTAGGTCTAAACCCACTGAAAGCAAAGACATGAATCGGACAAATTCGCTGAAATTTTGCCATTAGGTCAAAATTGAAAGCAAATAATGGATATTGAAAGCAAATATGCATAGCAAGAAAGCACGGGATTTGAAGAATCTCATCTCCAGGGAAAGGAAACAAAAAATAGAAAGGAGAAGAGAAATAATACTTTCCTGAAATCGTTTCTCCTCAAAAAGCTTTCTTCACAGCTGCAGAAAACAGCCAACTCTGGACAGAATCAAGCCACAAAAACAAGCAACTTTTTCCCAAGAAACAAATGCGTCCCCAATTTTCTGATTTTCCCCTTCCCCTTCCCCTCTCCCTACCCCTCTCTCTCTCCTCTCCCGCTCTCTCTCTCTTGAATTTTTGGAAAGTAAGAATACAGATGCGAGCAAATATATAATGTCCACTGATTGCCGGCAAACGGCTAGTTTTGGCTCGCTAGTGTGACCCGAGTTCCAACGGTAAATTCGAACGGGTCGGTTGGAAAGTGTCAATTTGGAAACCAAATATGGGAAGGATTAGTCTTCACAATTTGGTAACTTGGGTTGAGTTACTTGTAATTCGTTTATCACACTCATTAATTATGGTAAATGATGTATTTTGAATTTGATTTGTCTAATTGGTGCTTGTGGATATACGTTAGTGTATTTGGATAGGAGATCATTTGGACAAATTATTCAGAATAACACTGTAAGATTTTTTTTTTTAATATAATGTATATGAAATAAAAAAAAATAGTTGAGAATATAAAAAATTGGTTGCCATTTTTATTTATGATGCAACTCAAATAATATTTAAAAAAAAAAAAACCTACATTCCCAGTAGGATGAAGAATCAAAATTTCCACCAACTAGTGCGTGTAATACAATAACTACTTAAATCTAATAAATTGCAAGATAATGGAATATGTTAAAGTTAAAAAATGATCCATAGTGGAACTTGTTAGATCAACAACGTGGGTTACATTTTCCTCAATTCCTGCTTTTAGTTTGATTATAGAGAATAAAGATTTTACATTTGCTTGACCTTATACTAGTGAGTAAAATTTATGTAAAGAAAGCAAAAAAAAAAAAAAAAGGTCATACATTTACCCCAAAAAAAAAAAGTAAATGTGAGCGTGTGTAAGAGTCTATATATTGAAACGGTAATATATTGTGTATTTACAAATTCCGTATTGAAACACCTATTCAAGGAATCTTTAGTTTAAACTAGCCTATTAGATGTTACAACTTAGTTATAATAATTAGGATCTATTAATTCATGTGTATAAAATGAATATCAGTTCCAAAATACCTCTATTAAAAATGTCCCTTTGTTATTATGTCTTTCTCATTGTCTAATTGGATCGATCCATCTCTTAAAATTTCCAATATTTCTAGACATGAAACAATTAATCAAGCAGTCTGAAATTTATTATGATTTTGTCATATTACATGGAGATTTTAAATGAAAGCACAAATATACACTCAGTAAAAGTAAATATTTGCAACGTGGTTTTGAAAAATATGCACATGGGTCATATTTGCTTATAAAAAGTGACAATTACGTTTATAATCAAATCATTATTTTCAATAGGGGCTTCTTCTACCATCTCATGTGACAAAATTCAAATTAATTTGCAATTGTCAAATTGGTTGTATTACATTAGGCAAAGTCGAGAAGTGCAAGGTCAGATTTGTCCAATTAAATAACAAAATGGGTAAATGTGAGAAAGTTAACATGTATTGAGGGTATCTTCTACAATGCTTAACATTTGCTACTAAAATTAGGAGTCTTCCATGAAGAATCCTCTTGGATTTGTCATCCATTTTGCTCTCTGTGTTATCAATTTAAGAAAGGCTCCTCATCTAAAATTCATTTGGTTCTGCTTTCAGGCTGGTTCCATCAGCCAAGTAACATTTCCCTATCCTTATTGTCAGATCACCTACAAGGAAAATCACTTAAAAGAAGGGCAAGAAAGCCCCCTCACCTATATGATATTAACAATTTAAATAGTAATAAATATACAAGTAGTGTCACATTGGCTAAATTGCATGTTTCGTTTGTTGCATTGTTGGTACCAAATAGCATTGCCCATAAGCAAGGCACCTGAAGAAGTGAGAACTTATAGCATTGCTCTTGCCTCTGGTGTCAGCATCTAGTTCATAATTAGATCTCGTTAAGCTAAACCTAGAAGAAGAAAATGATTGTGATTATAGTTTATCAAGCACAACAAAATTCTGCAATTTTTCTACTCACTGAAAAACACACCTGATGCGAACATAGGATCCATGGCTCATGTTCAAGTCATTAAAGCGGTTGATTAATTCTGGACTTGAATTAATCAACCACTTTAATGACTTTAACATGAACCATGAATCCTATGTTCGCATCAACACCACCTAAACTGTAACCCTAACCCTTAATCTAAGCTCCACCTTCCCGAGCCATTGTAGCAAAGGCAAAACAAGTGCAAACCCTTCAAGATCATTTCCTTTTTTTAGAAGGTGGCTGGGGAGTCTCTTCATCCTCTCCTTCCTCATCGTCCTCTTCCTCTCCATCTCCATCTTCATCGTCATTGTCATCATCCTCATCGTCATCATCCCCACTTCCACCATCACCATTGGCCTCCGGCTCATCCTCAGAATCTTTGTCATCCTCATCATCCTCCTCTTCACCAGAAAAGTCTTCCTCATCCTCACCGCCATCATCCTCCTCATCGCCATCATTGTCTTCGCCATCATCCTCACTTTCACTGGCATCCTTGGTCTCAGGGTCAGGCTGCTTTTCCATGTACAGATCAGCTTTTGACAACCGGCAAATTATGGAAACTCATAACTGAATTTCACTTTGGGATGGTAAGGAAGAAGAAGACGAGAAAGAAACCTCTCCATTTGCCTTGGCTCCCTAGGGAACTCGATGGTAATTCCATTTGTCCTGGATCCTACCTGAAAGCAAATATAATTACACAAGGTCTTTTACAGTTTAACAAGATAAAATTTGATTAAGAAAAAAGTACGACAGTGGTCCTGAGACATGTAGAAAAGAAGATGATGGTAGGTATGTCATAGAGCAGACAAAAGGAGATAAAGTGCATGCATTTCCCAAAAAAAAAATGTTGAAGGGGGAAAATTACAAAATGAAGCTAAATGACGAACATGAAGTTCATGTACCCAAATTATACAAAAGGTCCCTGATAATGCAAACAAAATTCTGACCTAAACTCCTAACAGGAAATATGCAGGGTAAAATCTCAAATCAAGAGGAAGAGCGGAGGACAGTGGAGGGGATGGCAGGCTGTTAAGCAACCCATAAAGGTTGTGCATCTCACATGATTATGGTAAAGATAATTTGTCTTTTTCATTAAAGGCTAAGAATTAACTAGGTTATGATAAACCTTCAAGATACATTACTTGCAAAGTGTGAAGCTACTATAAAATTCCTCAGCAAGAAAACCTAGTGGTTTGGAAGACAGATGCGAAGTCCTCATTTTGCTTCCTCTGGAGCACCTCACTCATGAAAATTCAAACAATGACCAGCAAAATTTTATATAACCTGTTAACAAACTTTTTTTACAATGTTGTGTGTTACATAAAGATTATATAACCTGTTATTAGGCACAAACACTTTGACATGTTTAGCTCCTCACTCAATTCTTGAAGCTTTCTTCCTACCCCTAGGACTTCAAAGCCAGTCACAGAATGATAATAAGAAAGGACTTAGATATCTGAAAAATGTAAAGTTAATCAAGGGCCAAAGCAAATCAATACAATTTACGAGATTAACAGTCATTCAATCCTAAGTAGCAATCATTATGCAAGTGTCTTGATGCTTGAGAGTTGGGACCATAGAAGGCTAATGTCCTACAGATGAAAAGTTTCCCCCAGTCACCTTAAATAAACTACTGGCCTATGATTATACAAATCCTTGATGAATAAAGTCATGAAAGAAAAGTATATTGGCTAGTAATCAAGATGCATAGAGAAACATCAGCAAAATTGCACCAATTAAATCCCAGTGTCATCCACCTTGTACTGATACTACAGATGGTGCATTTATCCTATATCAAAATGACTATTTTATTTTCAACTTGAAGACAACAAAGATTAACTGGATATGAATAACAATTTTGCATTAGCAAAGCCCTCCGGGAGTATTTAACTAAGGTATCAGTTGACCAATACCAGTAATGCAAAAGCACCAGAAGAGAACAAACAGATGAAAATTTGTGCCGCTTCACCCAAGTTCCCAAACCCAAACCCAGAATACATATTTCCACTTTGCAGTCAAAAGGAAAACAAAATCATCACCAACAGCAGAATACACATCTCAATACCCAGTATACATATCTATACTACAAAAGTTTACTTTCTAAAAAGGGCCAAACTTTTTCATTCAAAATCTTCTGATCAGAAGCTTGAAACACTCTGACATTATCCAAAACCGCATAAAAACATTTAGGACCTTGTAAGAAACAAAAAGTAGAATAAAAACATCATACCAATATCAAAAATTAAAACTTTACTCCACACAAAGATCAACACAGAACCCTGTTTAACAAATTTACACACAAAAATTCAATCTTTGACACAAAGTCAATGAAAATTGCACCACAAACAGAACCCACAAAGAAAATATGTTTATACATTAAAAAAAGGAAAAAAATCTGCACTAAAATAGACAGTGAGAGAGAGAGAGAGAGTTGGAATTTACCACTAAAAGCAGGCAAGACAGAGACTTTACAACCGAAGTTGAAATCTCAGCCAACAAAGCCACCATTGCAGAGCTCAGAAGGCTTTCCATGCCAACACTACTAGAGCACAAGACCTCCATCTCCAACCCCAAAGCCCAAATGCCAAAAGAGAGCAACAAAGCCTAGGTTTTGACAATGAGGCTAGAGGCACAAGGGGCTCCGAACATAAGGGTTTGAGAGAAAAATCCTCTGAGGGATCAGCAGAGAGATTCCTAAAAACCCCAAAGAGTTTTTGCCAAAATTGGATTGGGGTTTATCCAGTCAGAATTCTCCTCTTTTTTTTTTTTTTTTGCAATGTGGATTATCGGTAACACTAAATATTCTTTATTTATTTAACTTTATTGCGTTTTAAAATGTAAAAGGAAATAAAGTCTCCAAAATCACTGCTGTTAAAAGTTGTGGACTCGTGGGAATCACTGCTGGTAAATTGGTAATTGGGTAAAAATGATGCTCGTCGGCTCCCCATGTGAAGTACGAAGCCCGTCCTCTTCTCCGTATTTCACAAGACAGTAAAAAAAGAATATTAGAATCAATAATCTGTCTGTATTATTAATCTTTGCTACGTTGTTAATATAAAAGACTTTTTAGAAAAGTGATTTAGATATATCCAGTATAAATCAATTCAAGAATTTAAAATTTTCCTTTTGAACATGCAATATGAAAAAGGGTTTATGTTGGCAGTATTAAAAAGGTCACTCCACGGTATCTTATGATGATGAACTCTTAAAAATGAATTTTATTTTACGTGAATATGAATCATAGAAGCGCTTTTAAGTTACTCTGCGTTTGATGAGGTTATGGTAGAAAACATCCTCCGACTCCTTTCGTCCCATAAATAAATGTATTGTCACCTTGGTCAATGAAACTCTTTTTGCAGTAAAACTTCATCAATTTAGTTTTTTTGAATAAATTCTTTAGATAATAATTGATGTGGATGGCCAAATACTACTATATGGAGAAGAGTTTCTTGTTTGGATTGCAATTTTTCAAGGAAATTTTTTTACTTTTTCTGTGATCACATTTTTCGATTACTTTTTTACTCTACATACATAAAATTGCATCGTTACAATATGTTTTTTTTTTTACGAAAATTTCAGAAAATAGCAATTCAAATCAGCGATGGTTCCCAAACATGACCAAGCTTTTGAAAGTGCTACAACGAGAGGAGTGAGTAAAATTGGCTCTCTTCTTGGTGGGTTCTTGGTGGGTTAAGGTTGCTATGACTTTTCTACAATTTATTATCTGGAATAAAATGTTGCATTAATTCACCCGTTGAAAAAGAAAAAGAAAATGTATATGATGTACTTGATCATGCACACAATCTTGTCGATCAAGGTAAATGTACATCTTAAATGATTTACACGAGTAAAAGAATTTTATCCAATCAAATCGTGTAGTCAAAGAAGAAACTCGAATTCTTATAAATTTGCAATGGCCCTGTAACCCTACAATGTACCCAAAAAAAAAAAAAAAAAGAGACCCTCGAATTCTTTCGAGTCTTATTGCATTTCAATGACAATAGAGATTGATACTACTATCATTGAGGAACCAACAGCAATTAGTTCTTTACACATAAGATTGCAAACCGCTACTATATATAACAGGGAACAGGAGTATAACATAAAGAACTAGAAACATTATTATCATTAGTACGATTAAAGTTGAACTTTAGCAGGCATTGCCTGCCTTATTTGGCAATTTCCCTTTTCTTTTTCTTTTTTTAGTTTTTGTGAATTTTGATTATAAATATTGCATTATTTAGCATCAAAGAAACTTCGATTATTGAGTTTGGCTCGTTGGATTGTGAAGCAAATTGATGTTTTGCCCCTAGAAGTGTTCAAACTAGTTTATGAAATTCAAAACATGCAAATAGAAATCAGCATTGGGATTATTAAACAAGCCCTTAAACATCTTTTTTTTTTCTGGAAGGACATCAAGAATTGAAAGAGACCTAACTTAACCTTGAAACCCGCATGACGCAGGGAGGGAGGGGGGACTGTTCAGTTGAAGGTGATTGATATCTGCCCTGCCGATGTATTAAAGCTTTTCATGGCCGTGAGAATGACCCCTCTTCAATTTGAGTTGGGACCTTTGAATTGATGGAAATCTAGAATGCCATGCAATAGCGTAATGTGTCAAAAATTAACTGATAAAAAGGATCCTTAGTAGGACACAGTCAAGATTTTGCCCAGTCTGGAGATAAGGGGGGCAAGTTCGGATTGACTCATCCCCCCCAACTCCTCTTACTGCAGCACCATTCATTGCTCTCGTCTGCGATAATCGACTCATGAAAGTTTAAATCTCTGTCTGTGAAAGCACAAACCAAACACTACAAAGGGCTCCTCCAACTATTAACGATTATATTTGCCCAACAAAAATCATGTGAGTCGATCATTACAGAGAGTTTGCCCAACAAAAATCATGGCAGTCGTACTAATCAGTAAAGAGCAGCACTACAGAGTCTTCCAAAAGGAGCGGGTATTCTCGTTTTTCGTTTTTCTTGGCAGTGTAATATTTTGTGGTTCCATGACCAAAAGAACCCGAGGTGGGCAGAACAGTATAGTGCTAACCTCCAACAAAAAACCAAAAACAAAAAGTATCTTGATCCTCCTCCGAGATCAGAAGAGTGAGTCCATTTATTCGTCCCCAGCCTCAGGGAGTATGCAAACTTGACAAGCAGCAGAGCCCCTTTTATATGCCATCAACTCATCTCTAAAGGAGTACATGTCAACGCAATCCGCATGACAAACGAGCGTCATCTCCTTCAGAACCATTGCATTTTCCAGCAAAAATTTCACCAACTTCAATTCTTCTGGTTCTTCCCCGCAAAAGGACTCAATTTCAATGCTCTTTAGCGTATGCAGCAAACATCCAGGCACAACTTCTGGAGGCTCCCAAAAGTATGGGACGTGCCCTCTATTTTCAACCCCCACGTCCAGGCAGGTACATGTCATCCCCTGAGCAAAGAGGATAATTCAAAAAGCTCTGAATCAGCATAAACCACGAATCCTGTAGATAGCATATGTTCCTCAAACAAATCACACACATACAACTTACGTCAGGAAAGACGAGGCTTTCCAGATTAGGACAGAGTCCAAGAAAACCTGGAAGCAGTATCGGGCCATGCAAATAATCGAAACCCAGCACCAGGTGGACCAAGTTGTGAAATAATAGGACTCTGCTCTCAGAAGCTGCACGTAGGGCCTGGAAACATAATAGAGCAATCACAAGTTAATTTCAGCAAAGAAAAGTCTAATAAGGATAGTTGCAAATGAAGACGTCTTGCCTTCAAAGTCTCTCCACCTAGTGATAAATGCTTCACCTTGCAGAGACTTCCAAGTATTCCGCATATCTTTTTTCCATAATTGCGTCTTTGTATATTCGTCCAACCCACCTCTTCTCCCAAGTTGTTGACGTTGATATTTGCTTCATTTACACAGGGCATGTGTTCAACCGCCATATCATCTGATGCAAAATCCACCAGTTTCATGTACTCCACATTCGGTGCCTTGACAAGTAGTTTGTACTTGATTCTGCCACCAGCTCTATTCGATGATTGCATGCTCGTGTCACCATACGATTCGAAAGTCAACCTCTTCAGTGAAGGCTGTGCGATGACAATATTCACAGCATTGTCCCATCTTTCCCTAGTTATTTGCAAGTCCTCAAGGACAGGGCAAGCAGAAAGCAGCTCTTCTATTGATGCATCGCTCACGTACATGACATATTTAAGACAAAGGGTCCTGAGTCTTGGAAAAGAAGCGGTACATGGGATGGCGAGCAGGAACCGCCCACTGAGTTTCAAAACTACCAAAGATTTAGACGAAAAAAGACTCCATGGCAACTCCCTAATACCAACAAGAGATCTCATGTCAAGGTCAAGCACTTCAATGTTAGACATTATCACAATCCACATCCAAGCATAAAAGCGTCTAGGGTCAAATCTATCATCAAATGAGAATCTGAACTCTCGAATGCTCGAGTGGTCACGGACGAACAAAAGGCGATCAACAAAGTTGGTAAAACTCTGAATATCATCACTCTTTGCAAAGCCATCAAACTTAGCCATGTTACCTCTGTCTTGCAGTTTTATGTCAAAATCAAGAGTGGGTACCGAAATCCAAAGCTTCTTCCATCTTTTTGACAAAACCCCTGTCTGCGCTGCGAATCTGGTTGGAAGAAAAGAGAGTATTTGACCAAGAACTGCATCAGGTAAAGTGCTGATTCTGTCTGGTACATTGCTGCAGCTGGAGACATCTGCTCCCTTAAGAATCTTCTGATTCTTAGATTGTCCCCTCGGCAAAATCGAGTCCATCAGGTCAATGGCATATGCACTATTAAGTGGTACACCAGCAGCAACAACCCAGCAAATTAGTATTATAATATAGACAATTAAAAGTAGAGTCAGATGAGACAAGCATCACCACTCAAAGATTAGTACTTTTCCCGGACAAATTAGTTCTTTTTAAACAGAAAAAAGACAACCAATCGACTTTATCATATAAAACCAACAAAACAAGGGGATGCTCATCTTTTATTCTAATATCACCCAGCACTATTTCTTAAATCAGCACTCTAAACGAAAAACAGGAATAAAAAAAAAAAAAAGGCTACATAGCCTTAGTAACCAAAAGGATTTGGATTCTGGTCAACTCCATACCCTCTCCTCGCATCGGATCCCTGCTTCTTCTTTCCGATCCTTCCCCTTCTGTTTGATTATCATTTCAAGAAAAGCAAGAACCTTTTTACTTAAAACAAGAAAAAGTTTTGCTTTTGCACCATCAAACATCATCATTATCATCTATTGAAGAAGAAAACATTACATGCATATGGCAAAAAGTGAAAGATTCAACTATTGACTATTCTAAACTCCAAGTCACTAACTACTCGTCACTACGAAGGAAATGAAACTCCGCTCTTGATTTGCAACTTACAACGGACGAGCTACTGCGTAATAACCAGGGAAAAAGACATCCCTGTCAGGATTGCCTGCTTGGATTGTGTGCTTTGGCGCTGGAATTTCTTGGTCGCTTCAAAAAGGCCGTAAAAACTTTCACCGCTCACCCTTCTCCAGCTAACCCCCACCTAAGGTGAAAGAAAGAAGCCCCACAGACTCTGTTGTTTCCACCGTTTTCTAGAGTAAAAAGTTTTCTAGAGTGTGAAAGTGAAGAGGCTGGAAGCTACATATATCTGGACACGTCCCAAGATTAGAATAAATTGATCATAATAAATTTGATTATGAATATCAATCAACCCACAGGTATAAATAGAAATCAATGCAAGGCAATATGGCAAACGTCAAACAAATCAGTGTGAAAATGAAGAGATTGGAAGCCTAATCGATAGAAACGGCACAGTTGTGGGTCGTTTATTGTGAACGAGCGAGAATATAGTAGACTGAGGTAAATATGTAGCTGTGTGTGTTGGACATAAGCTCCTCGGCTCCAACCCAAAAGTCAGCATGCCTTTTGGGTTGGGTCGTGGGTTTAGTTTATATCCGGTGTGTGTGTGTTTCTTAACTAAGGTAAGGGAGGTAAATATGTAGCATGAGACTGTCCAATTTGTGTTATATTTTTTGATTTTTTTCTCGATGCACCACAATTAGGGATGGACAAAATTATTCGCTAACTCGAAAATCCATCATATCTGATTCGAAAATTAGGATACGCGATATATATTATTTGATCAGATCAAAAGAGGGTCCTATACCCGTTAAGATGCGGAGTGGGTTAGAATCACATAATTAAAAGCCTGTGGGTACCCGACCTGCTCCGCATGTATATATTTTTAATTTTTTTTATACACATACTATAAAATAATATTTTTAGAACTAAATAAGAAATTTCATTAAACAAATTGCATTATAAATATGAGAGACTATAGTTTATTTACATGATTCATTTGTAGAAGTTAGAAGTTATAATCTTATATTTTACAAAAAAGAGTTAAATTAATGTGGAACATATATTTAAAAAAATGTATTACTCATTTCAAACATTTATTGATTTTGAATTCTTTTAATTTTTTACCTTTTCTTGTATTCTTTTTGCATGGTTGTTTCTTGGTAGGAAACTTTTTTTGAGAAAAATCTTTATTAAATCATAATGAATGTTTAAAATACAAAATTAAATTAATATAAATTATTTTTTTAAAAATTAAATAATAAGTGGGGCAGGATGAGTACCCATTGACACGACTCTATTTCAGCAATTACCCTATAATCGGGTATCTGTTGAGATGCGGGACAAGTAAGAGTCAGAAAATGGCTGACCCGTAAGGTATCAGTCAGGTCAGTCAAATGGTGGGTCGGTGTCAGGACATGAATTAGTTGTAATAAATGTTCAAATTGGGTATAATTCAATTGAGGCCAAAACGATGTCGTTTTGGGATATTGCATTAGTAGTTAGTTAAGTCGATTAATTAACCAATTGCAGGTTGTTAGGATTGGTTATAAAGTGGGGCCCACCCATGTGAAGAAAACAGAATTCCAGTAATAACATTTCATCTTCATTTTCTCCCTCTCAAATTCTCTCCTTTTCCTCTCTCTTACCTCTGATCCTCTACTTCTTCATCTCTTCTCCTCTCATTCCCAAATTTCATCTCAGTCAGTACTCAGACTTCAGCAATTGAACTTGAGTTCATGACAAATTGGTACCAGAGCTAGAAGATCCTAGGAACATTTACTATTAGCAATGGCAGAAGGCACTAGATTCCGGACATTGGAGGAGCAAGTAAGGAAACAAGAAATCAAGCTGCAAGAATTGATAGAATCTCTCCATGCATCACAGTCTGAGCAGCAACAGATCAAGAATGATTTGAAATTGGAAATAGAAGAAAAAAGCAAACGAATGGAAGGCTTGCTAACAGGAATGGAGCAGAAATTGAGCAACCTTCTATTAAGAATGCCTCCTGTGAAAGAGAAAACAACCAAAGGAGATAGCAGGGTGTTGATAGATCAGACACCACTTTTACCAACTCCACCAGCTCATCACTGATTACCAGTGGAAGGAGAAGCTCAAAAACTCCTTAAGAAGGATTGGAGTAAGTTTCAGATTCCAAATCCTCCTAAGATTGATTTACAATTGTTTTCTAGAGAAAATCCTAGAGATTGGTTGCGAAAATGTAATAAATACTTCTTGAACTATCAAGTTCCAGATGAACATAAAATTGAAATAATTGAAATGTATCTGGAAGGCAAAGCTGGCAAATGGTTTCAAGGTGTAAAAATTGAGAAACCTAGGTTGAATTGGGAGGAGTTTGGGGAACTGTTATGTAGGAGGTTTAATGATAGAACTTGCAAGGATATAGTGGAAGAATTCAACAAACTGCAGCAAGTAGGCAGTATTGATGATTACCAAGAGAGATTTGAGGAATTGAAGCCTCTGATGATGATAAAAAATCGAAATCTATATGAGAACTATTTCATTTCTAGTTTCATAAGTGGACTTAAGAAAGAAATTAAGCCTGTGGTCAGGTTGCTAAAGCCTGCTACATTGTCTGAAGCCTTTGAATTGTCTCAATGGCAAGAGCAATCCATAAGGATCCAGAACAAGAGCTCTAAGGAACACACCGAGTCATTGGGAGAAAACAGATTTGGTATAACAAGGAGTACTACCACCTCTATTGGAACAAATTCATACAAGGTCCCTGCCAATAACACTTTTAAGCATCCTAAGCTCAGGAACTCACCAGGGGACACAAGAGAGCCTAAAAAGATTTCTTTGCAAGAAATGCAGTATAGGAGGAATAATGGATTGTGTTTCAAATGCGGGGAGAAATATGGAATAGGACACCAGTGTAAAGTAGGGTACTCAAATTGCATGACATTGGAAGAGAAAGATAATGCTGCATTTGAGGATGCATTTGGAGAACAAGATGAACAGACTGGGAATCCTGGGCAGGCCATGGATATGTCACTGCATGCCTTATCTGAGGCTTTAAAGAGGAAAACTATTACACTTACAGGTACTCTAGATGGGGAGAAAGTGCTAATATTGGTAGACACTGAAAGCTCAGACAGCTACATCAGCAGTGAGCTAGTAATTGGGATGGACATAAGCTACCAGTGGGTGGATCAACCTTTCTCTGTTATCATGGGGAATGAAACCTGTGTCACCAACAATGCTATATGCAATAGTGTGCACTGGAGGATTAACCAACACAACTTTAGATATAACCTCAAGGTCATGGAACTTGGAGGTTGGGACATAATCTTGGGAGTAGATTGGATGACACATTTCAGTCCCATCACATTTGATTTTCAACAACTCAAAATATCATTGCACTATGAAGGAGATGAAATCCACCTACACGGCCAAGCAGACAACTGTGATATGGATTTGATCAGAGGCAAGAACTTGAGGACATTTATAGAATACACGAGGCAGATGTGCATGGCTATGAGCTCTCAACAGGATCAAGAAGGGAAGTTAAAACCTACACCACAGGAAGTGGAGGCACTGCTACAAGAAAAAAGGATGTATTCCAGACTCCTAACTCATTACCTCCAAGTAGAAGTGTAAACCATGAGATACCTCTTAAACCAGAGGCTTAACCATTCAAGCTTAAGCCTTACAGGTACCCTCATTGCCACAAGGAGGAAATAGAGAGACAGGTTGCTAAAATGATGTAGAAGGGTATTGTTAAGCACAGTAACAGCCTCTTTGCTTCCCCTGTGTTGCTTGTCAAGAAGAAGGAAGTCACCTGGAGGTTTTGTGTGGATTACAGAAAGTTGAATGAAATCACTGTTAAGGACAAATTTCCTATACCTAATGTAGGTGAACTGTTGGATGAGTTATCAAGATCTGTGTTTAAAACCAAGCTAGATTTGACTGCAGGGTATCATCAAATCAGAATGAAATCACAGGACACCTTTAAAATAACATTTCAGACTCATTGTGTCCGTTTTGAATTCTTGGTGATGCCCTTTGGGCTCACAAATGCCCCTGCAACATTTCAATCATTGATGAACCAGGTGTTCCAACCTTACCTGAGGAAGTTTGTTCTAGTTTTCTTTGATGACATTCTGATATATAGCCATACACTGGAAGATCATGTTCAACATCTAAAAACTGTATTGGAACTGTTGAGGGATCATCAACTATATGTGAAGAGGTCTAAATATGCATTTGCTCAGAAGCAAGTTGATTACCTGGGACACACTATTACTGATAAGAGGGTCAGTATGGATGACTCTAAGGCCCATAGTATCTTACAATGGCCAGTCCCAAAATCTGTCAAGAAATTGAGCGAATTTTTGGGACTCACTGGTTACTATAGAAGGTTCATAAAGCAGTATGGACTTGTATGCAAACCACTAACTGAACTATTCAGAAAGGACAGCTTTAAGTGAAACATGCAGGCACAAACTGCATTTGATCTTTTAAAGAAATTCATGTGCTCAGCTCCTGTTCTTAAGCTGTCAGAAGAAGGCCTTTGTGATAGAGACAGATGTCAGTGGGGGAGGCATTGGGGTAGTCTTAATGCAGGAAGGACACCCTATAGCCTTTCTGAGCAAGGCACTGTCAGCAAAGAACCTAGGCCTATCAGTTTATGAAAAGGAGTTGCTTGCTCTGGTAATGGGGTCACCAAATAAAAACACTACTTAGTTGGTAATCACTTCATTATGAAAACTGACCACCAATCATTGAAGTATCTGCTAGATCAAAAGTTGAACACTGCTCTTCAGCACAAATGGATGACCAAGCTGATGGGGTTGGACTATGAGATACAGTACAAGAAAGAGACTGAGAATCAAGTGGCAGATGCATTGTCAAGAAGACTTGAGGGTGACCCCACCCTTCCACTTCATTCCTGCCTAGCCATCACTGCTGTTAGACCTAGATGGATTGAAGAACTACAGAAAAGCTATGAAACTGATACACTTTGCCAAGATATAATAGCTCAGTTGTCACTGAATCCTAAGTCTCATTCTGATTATACTTGGGTAGATGGAGTACTCTGACACCAAGGGAAGATCTATGTGGGAAATGCTAATAACATTAGGAATCAGGTCATTTAGGTCCTATATCCTTCAGCAATAGAAGGGCACTCTGGACAGAGGAATTGTTGGCAAAAGGTTAAGAGCCTGTTCTACTGGCCAGGTATGAAACAGGAGGTGGTGTCATTCATACAGAACTGTGACATATGTCAGAGGAATAAATCTGAGAATGTTCCCTACCCTGGACTGTTACAACCAATCACCATTCACAGGGTTATTGAGAAATTGAGAAATTGCCAATCACCAAGCTTGATCTCACATAACTATGAATTTTATTGAAAAATTGCCCAAATCACAGGATTATGATACCATATTGGTAGTCATTGACAGGTTCACTAAGTTTGGCCATTTTATTATGCTTACTCATCCTTTCACAGCCAAGACAGTACCTCAAGCCTTCTTGGACAACATATACATAATGCATGGATTGCCAGAATCTATCATTACTAATAGAGATAGGATTTTTACTAATGGATTCTGGAGGGAGTTGTTCAAGGTGATTGGAACAGAACTACATTATTCCTCTTCCTACCACCCCCAATCTAATGGACAGAGTGAACGACTCAGCCAGTATGTGGAAAATTATCTAAGGTGCATGACTAGAGAAATGCCTTCTCAGTGGAGCAAATGGCTAGCAATGGCTGAGTGGTGGTACAACTCTACCTATCACTCCAGTTTTAATATGACTCCCTTTGAGGCATTGTTTGGATACAAACCAGTACCCCTATCCCTAGGACCCTATTTAGAATCAGTGGTGCTTGCAGCAGCTAACATGATTCAAGGGAGGAACAGGATTACCAATTGTATAAGGGACAACTTAGTCAATGATCAACAAAGGATGAAGTATTTTGCTGATCAGCATAGAACTGAAAGGGAATTTACTGTGAGAGATTGGGTGTTTTTTAAGCTACAGCCATACAGACAACAAACTTTTGCAATCAGGAAGTGCCTCAAGTTGTCTGCCAAGTATTTTGGTCCATTCCAAGTAGAAGAGAAGATTGGCTCAGTAGCTTATAAGCTAAGGCTACTCGCAGGTACCAAATTACATCATGTGTTTCATGTGTCATTGCTCAAGAAGAAGTTGAGGCCATTTCAGAATAGCTCAACCAAGTTGCCAGAATTAGACACTCAGGACCAATGTCCTCTGCAACCAGAAATCATCTTGAAGAGGATGGTCATTATGCGAGAAGGGCAAACTGTTGTACAATTTTTGATCAAATGGCACCAACTGGACTATGAAGAAGCATCATGGGAGGACAAATCCTTTATTGAACATCAGTTTCCCACGTTCCAGACTTGAGGACAAGTTTGTCTTAAGAGAAGGGAATTGTCAGGACATGAATTAGTTGTAGTAAATGTTCAAATTGGGTATAATTCAATTGAGGCCAAAACGATGTCGTTTTGGGATATTGCATTAGTAGTTAGTTAAGTCGGTTAATTAGCCAATTGCAGGTTGTTAGGATTGGTTATAAAGTGAGGCCCACCTATGTGAAGAAAACAGAATTCCAGTAATAACATTTCATCTTCATTTTCTCCCTCTCAAATTCTCTCCCTTTCCCCCCTCTTACCTCTGATCCTCTACTTCTTCATCTCTTCTCCTCTCATCCCCAAATTTCATCTCAGTCAGTACTCAGACTTCAGCAATTGAACTTGAGTTCATGACAGCGGGGCGATACCTGATCCGCGTCCACCCCTAACCACAATTTTACAACATTACTTACCGTGTGCATGCGCACGTTTATACTTATTCCTCTTCTTGTATTTCCACTGAGCTACCCCACTTGAGGATTAAATACTATACACTAATCCCTCTTGAATTGTATTACTAATTGTACTTGACCACTTCAACTTATTAAAGAGGCACTTTACCCCCACTTAATATTTTAAGGTAGAACTGCCCTCGATTTTTTTTTTTTTGCTGTTTATTCATTTCTTTTTTTTCTTTTCTACAACTTCCTTTTCCTCTTTTTCACTTTTCTCATGTCATTCTGCATTTACTTTCCTATTAATATTACTAGTTTTGTGCTTATTATGAAATTGTGGTTTTCTTTTACTTATAATTTCATCCTTGTTTTAGTTTATTTATTTATTTACACTATTAGGAAATCCATGATAAATTATATAGTATGAAAAAATACTATATATCTGTCATAATCAAAGGATATATAGTTAGCAATTTAACTATTTAAACATATGTTAGCAAACTAAAAATTTTGAATTACTTAATCTTTAAGAATGTATACCAAGCAAACAAAGTAACTGGTATTGTATTTATTTTTTTATTATGTATAGTTGATTACACATTGTGTTATTGCGATCTACTTTTGTCTTGTTAAAATTTTCTTATGAGCAAAGGAGGAGTGGGATTTAAGAAATGGGGAGGAGAAGGGAGAAATGGACCTTATTACGATCTGTTTACTTGTTATTTCTGCTATTAATATTGAATTAATTCTAAACACTAGATGTATTTATTTAAATACTATATGAAATGTTCTATGCGCATAACTAATGTATACTATATTACTATGTTATAGCATAGATTTTGTGGTCATTATTACGTTCTGATAATAAAAAGTTAAAAAGATACAAGTAAACAAATAATAAGTATAAGATGATACAAATATTATAATTAGAGATTCTAGATACAAATCTCCCTTTCTCCCTCCACTTCTTAAAATCACACATCTTTCGTGCTAAAAAAAAAAAGATAGAAAGTGTTGTATGGATAGTAATAGTAAAGAAAAAAAAAGTATTTTGTGACTTTAGAGAAAGGATGAAAAATAAAAAATAAAAAGAAATGGGATAAAGAGACAAGGAAAAAATACAAAAAAAAATAGCATTGAAGAATACTTTTATCCTAAAACATCAATTGAGGGATAAAGTGGTTATTTAATAAGTTTAGAGGGGTAAATAACAACTGGGGGCAAAATTCAAAGAGGCTTAATGCATTCAACCTTTTAAGTGATAGTTGAAAACAACTGGTGTGCTCCACGAGGAAGGTACTAGTCTAAAACATAAAACATTTAATTAGTATTTACAACTCAACCAACTTTTTATTGATATTTACAACTCAACCTTTTAATTGACATTCCTTAGTTTTCGGATGGTTTGAAATACTGTAAGATAAACGTGGAGGTATTGATGAAGAAGAAAAAAAAAAAAGCAACCGTATTAATCGTGGGATATCAATTTTTTTAAATGAATTGTGAATGTTATGATTTTAATAGTAAGGATAAAAATGATAATTCAAAAAATAACATTATTTATAACATTAAATGATACCCACGCTTTTTTTTAAAAAAAAAAAGGCAAAGACAGGTGGAAAAGACACATAATTTACATGCATATTCAAGGAAAAATGGATAAATAAAAAAGAGATACATAGAAATTATTGGTAGTTACGATTTTGAAAGTGGTAGTTTTCGATAAGTATGCATGGGTTGTGGTAGTTTAATTCATTCATTGCGCAGGTGGCAAAATAGCCTAAGAAAATCATTCAACGTCTCTCACATTTTGTAAAATGATTTTTTATTCCTTACTTTTAAAAGTGTAATTTTACATTCTTTATAAATTTACGTGGATCAAATTTAGTTTATACCTAGGTTTTCGACTAGTTTTTTGCTGAAATCCATAACATGTCTTGCAGGTGATCATTTTATAGAGGCAAATTTATCAAATCATATTTCATATAATCTGATTTATAGTCTCTCACATTTCACAAAATGATTTTTTCATCACTTGTTGATCATGTGTATGAATAGTTTTTCCTTGTTTTTAAAAACTCATGTATATTTATATTTAATTTCACCAGAATAGTACAATTAGCATGTAATATATCTCTTCATCTGAATAAACTAGTTGTAGTTGTACGTAAAATCAAATAGAGACATATTACATACTATTCGTACTGTTCAGGCGAAATCAAATAAACATTTATATAGGTTTAAAAAAAAGGTATTCATACATATGATCAATAATGGATGAAAAAATTCATTTTGTGAAATATAAATGATGAAAAATTCATTTTGTAAAGTGTGAGAGAATATGAATCGGATTATATGAAATATAATTTGATAATTTTTCCCTTTAAAACTGATCACGTGCAAGGCACATCGTGGATTTCGACAAAAAATTCATCGAAAACTTTGATAGGGATCAAATTTAATCAATGTGAATTTGTAATGGATGTAAAATTGCACTTTTAAAAGTGAGACGAAAAAATCATACTGCAAAGTGTGAAAAACATTTTGAATGATTTTCCTCCTAACTTAACCAGTAACCATAAAGCAACAAAAATTTTTTTTTATTATTTTTAACTTCATGCTCGTGCTTTATATACAAAGAGAAATCAATTGACTTTTCTTCTTACGTGTCATAGGTTGTTTTCACAAGTGGTATAATAAATTGACAAAAAAGTGTTATGATTGATTCATTCTAATTGAATAATTTTTATTTCTTAATTAACTGATAAAGAAATCATAATTATAGTTCATTGATCGCTCACTAGTCACATCATAAAGATACAATCCTAACTATAGATTACAACTCAAGGATTCAGACTCTGGTACTTGCAATTAAGTCTCTAACGAGTGTAATAATATACCTATTGGCTTAGAGGTGAGCTCCTCTCCCTTTAACTTCCCATTGATCCAATTGGACCCTCTCTAGTATAAGTTAGCTTAGGAGTAATTTAGATTTTGCCAGATGACCAAAAAAAAAAAAAAGAAAATTTACATTTTTAACATAAACAATTTTGTTGGATGGTATAAACGGATGTATAATAAATTACTGTAGTAAACAAAGTCTTCTTTTATTCATGCACGGGTTTAGATCTAGTAACTGATCACCATTTAATTTTGGGATAACGTTTAAATAACATTTTTGCAGTTTGAGTGTAAACATTTTATGTGCAACAATGTACACAATTCTGGACAATTAAAGCTTGCAAGGATTAATGGATTTTG